TTTAACCAAAACCTCCAACCTGGCCAATCTGACACGTTGTGTACATTTCGTATCGCGCTAACTGTCAAAACAAAAACCTAAGCCAAAACTTAGACGTGTGACACGTAACGCACATTTGGTATCGCGCTAATTGTCAAACGTAAAACCAAAACCTAAAATGTTGCAAATTGGTATCGCGCTAAATATTTTGACATTTTAACCTCACATGTAACCTTGGGGGAATAGATTAACCTTTGCAAGGTCAAGGTTTGTGTGGCAGTTAATGGAGAGTAACTTTTCACTACGTTTATCGTATATAAAAGATGTTCCACGGTTACTTAAATGTTTTGGAAAGTGTTTATGAGGTGGATGTGGCCTAAGAACGGGCTTTAAATAAAAGAAAAGCATAGAAAGACGATCACATTTAACATGTCTGAGGAGAAATTCCGCAAACGATATACCGTTTGTCCACGGAATTCATTTCAGGATTGGTGGAAGAACTATGCCTACATATTCTCGTTAAAGGACGGTCTGTTGCATTGGATGTGGAGACAAAGGTAAGGGTTGAGTGGAATCCGAAAGTTCTCAGTTTTGCATAATAACCAAAATTTCTATACTGTGTAAATCATTATTAATTTTGTTACAGATTTTAATAGCTCGTATAGTTTTTAACAACTGGGGTGTACCAGACCCCCATTGGCAAGTGCTTATCACCCTTTCCCAAGTCAGTGTCAGAGAGGCACAAGCGGTAGCTGCTTCAAATAAACCAGTTATTATGAATAAATATGCAGCTTTCCTAAAAGGCATGCCGAAAGAGATGGTATTAAAAGTCGGTGAGAAAATAAGCTTTACAATGTACATCATATTTATTAGTTCTTGTCTTATTTCCTGTTGTTATTATCAAATTAAAATTACAGGTATAGGTAAAATATGTATAGTTGTATAAAAATATATTACAAGGTTACAATTTATCTCTTTTAACACTTGACTTTATACAACATATCGTCCCCTTACAGTGAAGCCTCACATATGCATTTTCAGTTTGTTTTTACTGATTTTTGTTGAATAAAAATTAATAATGTAATAATATAGTATCTAAAAGAGGTATAATTTAAGTAATTAAAATGCTAACTACACACATTATTGCATTTACTATACTTCACACCATATTTTTATCTTCATCCTAAAAAATTACATAGAAATATGAGGTATTCATTCTAAGATGACGATGTATACCTATTGTAATTGTTTATTATCTTAATATCTAAATTGATGTATACTTTTAAGAGGTTGAAATAAAAAAAAGAGTGTATTTTTAGTTTATTTATTGCCTCAATCTACCCCAAATCATCCTTCATTTCCGGAGCGAGCTTGCTTTTGATTCTTCAAAGAAGTCTGAAACAAAAATATGTATATAGGAAGATTGGAGACCTAAATTTAAGACTGTGCCATACCTCTCATGAGAGTAGTGACAGATAAAGCAGGATGGGTATTTATATACATACAGTATGAAGCCAACATAAACGCCAGAATGTTTAGGGGCCTTTTCAAAATACATTTAAAAAAATGTTTATATCACTGTGGAAATATAAACGGGCCAAAAGTCTACAGATTAGACCTTCGTTCCTTACGCTCTTTCAGATTTCCACAATTGAACATATCATCAGCAGGAATTAAGAAAACATGTTGAAAACAAACCTGTCATTCTTGTTAAATAGTCTATCAAAAAGGTTAACTGCAGGCACCAACTCGGTAATTGCTTTGCAAATGGCAGCTACGGATTGGGCATGCAGATCATCTGCTTTGGCAAAAATAATAGCTGCCTCAGCCTGCACCCTGCCAGCATTCACTTGCTGCAAGAATGCTTCGCATGCTCGCTGCTCCTCAATGCATAAGAATTCTTCCCGGCTCTGCTCCAACGTTCATCAGCTCGCTGTCAACGAAATAATAGATGTGATGGAATAAAGAGTGGGAAAGAATTTGCTCAAATTGAAAGTTACTTTGTTTTTTAATTAATAATAAAGAGTGAGAAAGTTACTTTGTTATTGAATTGTATGTTTGAAGTTATTTTGTGCTAGAGTTGGTGTCCTTTAGGAAGGTTGGTAGGGCCTCTGCCGCAGTCGATGTGGCGTAGATTCTCACCCTGCTTTTCATACCATTCCATACCTGAATAACAATAATAACATCGCATATTATAGTGATATGAGTTCTGGTACAATAACGGTGAGTGATCCACTCACTGTATCCTATTACCTCGCATTATAGCTCACCTTTTGGGATCTATTGCGGGGCCACAAAATAGCCACACACTCGCACCAAAGGCGTGCTGATAACACGCGCGAACAACGCCGAGCGAAGTCATTCTCAAGCCAAATCTCTGTGCGATTCGAACTCCAGCAAAGATGGAGCTGGCTTACAGTGGTCGCTCGCCGTCCGACCGCATCCACACTGGCTGAAATACGAGTATCATTATTAATTCTACATTGCTAACATTTCGAAATTAATAGTAGTTAGCGTACCTATTTGATTGTATAAAAAGATACTATTTTATTAAATAGAATATTAAAAAAGGAAAACAATGTGTAGGTACTTGCCTCTGCGTGTTTTATCTACAACAACAACACACTAAATTCAATTAATTTGGTTCAAATCACAACACATATGTTTGTTTACAATAGAATTTAATGACATTTCTTTTACACACTTTTTTAAATCGCTCTTTTATAGACTTGAATTCGTAGATATTGACATTTCAGTGCGTTTTACGGTAAAATTTAGTCGGTTTTAGGAAGTCAAGGCACGTCTCTTAAAATTTAATACGAGGTTATAGTTTGAGGTTAATTTGAGGTTTAGGTTCATTAAAACTGATAGCGCGATTGCATTTTGTGCGTCGGTAGAACCATTAATTAACCAAAACCATAACCTCAAATGTTGTAAGGTTAAACCTTGCGAAAATAGCGCGATTGGCCCCCTGTTCTCTCCAACCGCAGGGGCGTGATGGACGAATAATACGAACGAATTGCGAAGCTTCTAAAAAGCTTCACTTCTGATGTGTAGCGTGATTAGTAATTACCACCGTATTCCCGCGTAAGCCTGGGACACGCAGCAATCTTGGTATTGTGATAATACTATTGTCTAGTTTATTGTGAAATTCAGATTAAAAGTACTGTCATCTAATTTATTATACGTGGGGCGCACTATAAGTTTCCGGAATGAATAATAAAAAAATACTATAAATGGTCAGAAATGAATTTATTGTTTCTCAAAATATTCTCCGTTAGCGTTCATGCACTTTTTCATACGAATGAACCAAATTTTGAAAACATTTATGCCACTCCTCCGTGTCAACCTCTGAAACATATTTTTCATACTCTTCGACAGCTTCTTTTCATAAGGTCTACGGTGTTCACCTTCAAAAATTAATTTGTCTGTCTGGCCGTGTGAGAACTGGCATTAACGTGGTACAAGATGATACGGTGTTTACGGGTATTTTTACGGAGTTTGTCAATAAATTCCGGCAAACAAATGGTCGTGTACCAACCATTATTCACGCTACAACGATTCTCCAACGCAACAGTAGCCACGTGTCCAGTTTTATTAAAAAAAGAAACAATCATCCGCTTAGAGGCACTATGCATACGCGCCACTTTGGTTGGTTTCGGCTCATATCGAAAGACCCATACGCTCGATTGCTGCTTTGTTTTGGGATTGTAACTATAAATCCATGTTTCGTCACTTGTTACTATGTCCCACACCAAATTTGACGCCCCTTCGTTGAATCTGGTAAGCATGGCATTGCACCAAGTGACGCGATCTGTTTTTTGAGCCTCAGTCAAATTGTATGGGATCCACAGAGAGCACAGCTTTTTCACACCCAAATGTTTGTGTATTATTGATTGTATTTGACTCATGCCTATGCTTAAAGATGCTCGAAACTCGTGCTATGTCACATGCCTGTCTGTTCTGATCGTACGGCGCACAGCATCGATATTTTTGTTGTTCACAGCAGTGGACGGGCGACCATCACGAAATTCGTCACTGAGATTTCCCCGCGTTTGAATTCTGCAAACCAGCTATAAATAGTCGTCTTGCATGGTGCTTCATCGCCAAAAGCAACTGAAGCCGAGCGAAGCTCCGCTGAGCTGTTAAATTACACTTAAAGTCGTAGAAAATCATACCACGAAAATTTTCACGAGTTAAATCCATGGTGATGTAGACAACCAATTTCTAAAATGACGCCACAGTGTAAAAACAAGTGACAGTCAGATGAAACAAACTGTATTCTACAGCCAAAGAGTTCCATTTTCAAATTACTTTTTAAATATTGTTTAGGTAAATGGCCAGTTTCGGAAACTTATAGTGCGCCCAATGTACGTGAACTAAAGTAATACGGTCTCAAATGAGAAAAATGACACTGCATTAGGGACACGCCACGGTTGTCAGGTTATAGACCTTTCGGATGTTTTTTCCATGAAATCCGAAATATACATATTGGGAAGATTTTGTACTCTCCAGTTAGCTTTCGACCTATATTATACTCTTTTTTTGTAGATTTTTGATATGATAAATAAGTGAAGTTTAGTACATGGACGCAGATAATTGCGGCTTTGAAGAAATGCCCAACTAATCTTCGATTTAATGAGGAAAAAATAATGAAAAATATTTTTTAAATATATTTTAATGCATCTGAATAATGTCGAAATATTAGATTGTTCGTGAAAAATCTAGGTTAAGTACGCAATTTTTATCACACTGTAGAAATTGATAAAGTTATGTTGCAATGGAGTGTTTTTACAGTTCAAAATATAGGAAATTAACCGAGATTCCTTAAAATTCTTGAAAATGTAATAATATTTATTTAAAATTAATATAGAACAATTAAAATACACTCTTTGCAAACTTTGGATCGTTTTTGAAAAATGACTCAAAATGATTCAAGTCAAGTCAAAGATATTTTTTAAAAAAAGATTACCTACCTTAATTGCGTTATTATTCTAAGCTTAATTATTAATCTAAGAAACGTTTTGGTAAGATATGAAACTATGTAATGAAAACTTTAATTTGACGAAAAAATGAAGATTGGTTGAGAATTCTAGCAACAGTTAAGATTTTCGGAAGCTTCGACTTCCATTTTCTCGAAACTTGCCAATTGTAATTTGGAAGTTTTTATTATAACAACGTCCAATTTTATTATAATTAATTAGGACATAATGTTTGCAAATATCCAGGCTTTAAGTCTTCTGTTTTATCATCCCGTATCTTAATGGCACATTCCTTGTCCATAAAGAAATTTTCCGAATTTGGTATGGAGAAACCCCATGGCATTTCATGCTTGGAATAAAAAGAACCCCAGGTCGTCACGCCGAAAAGTTGATTGGTCTTTGTATTATATACAGCTCCGCCTTCTACCCCATGGGCTCTGGAACATCTCGTTGAGTTCTTCTCTTTTCTAAATTCTTCTAAATCACACCCAAAGTAACAAGGGACATAAAATCCTTTGATTTTGTAATTAGCCGTATAGATTTCAGCACACAACTCCATTCCGAGAACAACTTCTAGTTCAGAAAGCAGAAATTTTCTCTCAGGTGCCTTTAATCGGTTTTTCTATAAAATAAAAAAATGTTATCGTAATTGTTTAATGTGCGGGATGAGTGGACGTAGCTGAATGCGTAAAGATAAGGAGTGAGTATTGTGGCGCGCTTTGTAATAGGCCTAATCCATTATAAAACACAATAAAGACTCCTACTATATCTGAAATGTTTTCTTCTAGAAAATAACTGCACAACATGATATTGTAGGTACTCGGGTCAAATAAGGCAGGCCAGCGTATCTCGCGAGGGCTCTCTTATATCCATTCTGTTTAGAGTCAGTTGAATTATTTAAAAGGAGATAATTACATTTTAATTATATATGTCGCATTAATTTGATAAAGTATTATTTGTATTTAATTTAATAATCGTAAGAAACACAATTTCACATGGCATTATTCAAAATAGTACCTAACTGCGTAAGTGTAATAGTTGTTAAATGTTGAAGTCAAGTTAAATTATTTTTATGCATTAAATCTTGTTTCTAATATTTTTCGTGGAATATGTTTTAAGTATGTATTAATACAGTCCTACTGCTTAGATGAGTCGGATCCTGAGGTGGTTCCGCGGTGCGGGGGAGTGACAGTTTCCGTAAGGGCGTGTTCCCATTATGTCGTGACGACAGATAGTCGTGCAGTTTAAAGTGTCGTAGTTTGTATATTTAAATTAATTGCTCATAGAACACGAGAAACTGTCGTTCACGACTTTTGTTACATTACGACGACAGACTGTCGTGTCAACAGGAAGAACTAGAACGACAGTTGTCTGACGATAAATAAAAACGTCACGATAACACGATTCTGTTATGCAAACGAGAAGGCAGCTGACGTGAACCGATAAAATGTCGTCACGATCTAGTAGGAACAGCAAGACACAGCTAGACAGTCGTTAAACGATAAAATAAACGTTCACTACCGTCATGACAGATAGTCGTGATATGGGTACAGGCTATACTCACAGTCGTCCAACGATAAATAAAACTTTAGGACCTAATGGGAACGCGCCCTATGGTTGTGTCGCGCAGCACACGGGATAATTAAAAAATAATCGGCCTATATTCAATAACAAGTTGATTGAAAGTTGAGAGAAGCGTGTGCCAAATGGCTTGTCTATTCATTTTAATTATCAATTAAATAGTTTTTTTTATTATCGTTCCACTCAACAATTATTACTTGATAAATTTGATAGGTTAAGCAGTACACTGCTTTCAATTGTGTTGGTTAATTATATTTGACAAAATTAAATATTCTCTACAAATCAGTTATAATTAGTTCCTAAGCTATTGTACCACAGAATCACAGCAATCAACGATGAGGTGAAATGATAATTATGGTGTAGATAAGTTGTCTTAAGGCCTGTTGTGTAGGCGTTATTCCCTGCCACTGTGGGTAGCGAAATTCGAGTGGGTATGTATAATGTTTACACATTACCTAGAGCCTAAAAGTAGTTGTGGGTAGCGATCTGTCAACTAATCGTCACTAACTGGCTTGCGGAATTGGCAGAATTTTGAAAGACACAGAACAAGCCACTATAATATATGTATAAGAAGAAGAGGAGATAAAAAAAGTAAACAAACCCTCTTTTTTATTGCAAATCCAATCGCTTTATGGTCTCCGTTCCCTTCGCTCTTCAAGAGTTCAGCAAACCACCTCCAATAATTATCAGTGCGATTCTTATCGTATAATTGTACAGTGTCCCACTTGCCTTTGTAATCCGTGTCGGTCATAACAACTATGAAGCCTATATCGTCGTAACTCTGTTTGGTTCTATTAGTCGGTGTAATAAAAGCTTTGGCTGGGAATTTGTAACCGTTGTACATAACTCTTGTGTAATATACTTGAAGGCTGAAAATTTCTTTGAATAGGTACAAACTATGAACGAGTTATAATGATTGCAATATATTTTATTTTTATTATTTTTGGAAAACTTACAGCTAGGTAACAATAATAAAATAATGTGTAATACACGCCTGACAAAGTAAGTTGCCGACTTAAAGAAAAAACATAATAAATAAAAATAACGAAAATTAAAAACGTTAAACAGTTATAGTATCCGCATATTTGAAGAAAAAACATATCACTGAGTATTAGTGTGAGCGTTTTAGTTTACTTGTACTGGTGTTGAACAAGTCCATCTCACCATATCTATTAACTAAGGAGGTAAATGAGAGAGACGCTTTATTTAAAAATGCATTCAAAAGTTCAGAAAATCATTTCAACTCATGATCAATATTTGAATAATATTACAAGAAAAGATAATCTCAGTACAGAGTACTAAAAAAACCGACCTCAAAAGTACGTGGAATTACGTCTATTTGCTAAGTTTCATTGACATATCCCCTAGTTCGCCACTATACAGGACTTGATACTGGAGACAATAAAAATAGGTTCTCACTACGACACTACTCAAAGTATATCGAGAGAAAAACGCCTTGAATTGGAGAAATAGCAAAATCAACTAAATAATTGCTAAAAGTAATTGCTCCTAAATTAAAGTTAGGCGCTATTTATAAAAATGAATCTTCATGCGTGAACAGCCACCCTTTGAGGTGGATGATTTTATTCAAAATGAAATGGGACCACTATGGAAATACCCCCTTTCCAACAAAAAAATAATCATGAAAATCGGTTCACAAATACCGGTGTTATCGCGTAACATACATACAAAAAAAAAGAAAAAAAAAGAACATACAGTCGAATTGAGAACCTCCTCCTTTTTTGAAGTCGGTTAAAAACGACTTCTTATATTTCATAAGAGGGAGCATGCCAAAAAAGTTTTGACGTTGGCTCCGCCCACATTTCTGAGACAAATATATGCCTGAAGTTCGCGTGACATGCGACAGGAGATGTCGAATTTTGCGCGTTAAAAGTACCAAATTCGTAAATCGTATAAAATTCATAAAGCTCTAAAACTAAAGGGATTAAAAGAAAATCCGTAGTGACAGTTCTCGATCATGTATAAATATAATTAATTATCTAATTTTTGTCCTAATAACCTGTAGCATTTCGAGGATGAATCGAAAAAATGTGAAAATTAGTAGTCATTTCGTGATTTTTATCTATCGAGGAAACTTTATTGTTTATGTTTCTGATTAGTGTCCATGCTTGAATATATCGTGTAGTTACTCATACAATATTTTATTTTTAACTTTAAAGTGGATATGGGGTATATCTAAAATCAAATCGAAGATTAGGAATTTTTCCTCTGCTCCCTCTTAAAGAGTAATATTTACGTGATATAATCTACTTCCAGGCTATAGATCAGCGCCATCTAGATGTAAGACGGATTTTTGATCTTTTTCAGAGCTACGATCTATAGTATGGAGATTAACAATCTTCCTGAGTTATTAGTCCATGATATGAATCAAAACGAACATTTAAATGGATGAAAACTTGGATGACAAAAATCCGTGTTAGTGACCCTTATAGCTCTTTCAGGTATTCTCTATCTAAGATGTGTAAATTAATATGTGTAAAATAATAATAACGCACATACTCATAGAGGGAAACCCTGTATCGCGGGTGCCTTGGACACACACGTAAGTAGACAACCATAAATTAAACCCAAACTCACATGTGAAACAAGAGTAGGCCATACACACAAATATTTCTCCCGGTTCAGGAACCGAACGCTACAGAGGCAGTTTAATCTTGTAATGATAAATATATCAAATGATATTTACAAAGAGCAACCCCTAGACTTTCTTTCTCATTCTTCTCAGGGGAATCCGCCATAGGTACGAATGAGCAGTAGAGTTTAATCGGTATGATGATTTCAAGTGTAATTTGCTTACCTATGAAATAAACATTACTTGATTTGACTTCGAAACCAAATACTAACTTAATTGAGATAAAACGATTTGAAAGTTAGAAAAATTACCAAATGAAACCAATACATTTATAATTCAAACGCTGACTTAATTTTTTATTAATTAATACAAAATTTATTTCCTATGTTTATAAACAATCACTATCGAAATCCTTAATTAGAATTTGTGACTGATCACGACTGCATGCTCTTACTGCAGACGTGCAGTCCATTTGTTAGCAGCTTAAGGAAACAAATTTTATTTCCAAAACCTATACCTACTCTGTTTCAGAATGTCTGTATCTGAGAATGTTCTTTTACCTTTATGCTTATTTTTAGAATATAACTTTATCTGAAAGTTCCATTCGTAGAAAGTTGCGTTACATACCAAATTACTTACATAGTCAAGCATCTAGCAGATGTAATGAAAATAAATTTATCAATACACGAGCACGTGCAAACGTGGGGATAGTCGTTTGTGATCGAGTGTACGACTCTAGCAATCCATGGATATTGTGACTCGCTTATCTCCTTTGCGTCGAATTGGTAGTCTTCTAGTGATGAAAATACTGGAAAAGTATGGTTTCGATATTTGAAGGTATAATTTAGGGGAAGATAGAAAGAGAGAGAAGGGTAAGGAAGATCTAAAATAGCATACAGGGAAGAAATAAACGAGAACGTCAATGTTAGAGCTATAAAGAGGTCTAAGAGTATTATGAGGAATGGAGGAGGCTAGCAGAAGAGTTCCTTGTGAAAGAGTTCGTCCAGGGGAGCCGCCTTACCTATTGCTGCCGCCAAGAAGTAATGTGACCATTACTGTATTTCGGTGTGGTAAAATTACAAGGCTCATGGGCCATTTCAACTTATGTGTCAAGGTGACAGGCGCAGTGGTAGTGCCCTTAGATCTTTGCTATTTAAACCTCTGTGCGGCACTGCAACTGTTCTGGACATGTGTATCCTTACCACCAGGCGCATGACCTAATCGTCCCGTCACTTCCCGGACGGAGTGTTCACTACATAATTTCCGTGGCAATTTTTATTATTTAAAATAACTAGCAAGAAATAAACTAGGTGTGAATATCTCGAAAGTTACTAAACTGCAAATGCGTTAGTTATGACAAGGAGGGTAGTTTTTATACCTACTCGAGTTGGACAAGTCGAAATCTTGAAAATCTGGCTTAGTCTTTTTCTTTCCCAATTGAGACACATTATCACCATTTATAGGATCTACGCTTTCACCCATAAACTCAACCAAATTTTGTAAAAGTAAAATGCATAGAATCCAATACATTTTTGTTATAATATTTTGGAGCTGTAAACGGGTAGTAAAAATTCCAGTTTGTTATAGGCTATAAAAATATAATCGTTACTTTGAATCTTAGAGGATGGAAAAAAATAAAAGAAAGGAGCTGCCCTAAGTACAGAATCAACGTGCATATTACCAAAATTTGAAAGTTACAAATGGCGATTTCTTTAGTGTTGTACCATAATCTATCGATAAGTCATTATCGACATGCAAATGTATGGCTTGAATTTTTGTTTCTTTAGTTTACTGTAACCAAAGTATGCCTAAACAAACACAAGTCTGATAATTTAATCTCGAGTGGTATATTATTATAAATGTCAACACACATTTTTAAACTTCAAAAAAAATTTATTTTCAACATTACAACTGGTAACTTATTTAGTAAAAGTCACCAAACTGCTGTGCAGTTTGTTGGCGACATGCGCATTCTTGCTTAATTATACCTACTTTACTTGTATTTAACATTACGTAGTATTAATTGTACTTACTAAATAAAATATAAAAATTACTTTAAGAGGTACGCCTTTAATCTACATTTTAGTACATATTTACATAACGTCTTTTAACTAACCGTCAAGTACAAGTATATTCAGGTTTCTGCGGATTCTAGTATTCCCGTTAATTCCCGGGCTTTCTTAAGCAAATGAATCTATCAAGCAATTTTAACACAGAAATAATGGAAGTAGTTGTAAAAATCAATTATCGGAAATCAACAATTATCATGTACTAGCTTTTCCCCACGATTTCGTCCGCGTACAATTTTTAAACAAATGAAAAATATTCAAGTATGAACCAAATCGCACCACGTGTTAAAAAGTTACCATACAAACTTTATTACCCCATTTCGCCGCATTTTTTAAAAACTGTCATGCCATTTTTTTACCATTTTTATTGTATAATATTTATGCAAAGTTTCGTCTTTGTAATTTCATGGAATATTATTTTTCATGCAAACGTTTTTAACCGTTTTCGCCCTCTTAGGGGATGAATTTGAAAAATCCGTTCTTAGTACTCCTTCACTAAATAAAATTAACATACCCTCAAGTTATCATGTTCCAGTACTTACAGTTTTTGCTATGCGTCCATCTACCAGTGAATTGCTCTGGACCGTACTCCTTTAAATATGTAAATAGATTTACTGAAAAGAGATAAACCTATGACAGCCCCATCAATCAAGACGAATCAAACGACACCTCATATCTCAAAATCCACATTGAACATAAAATTATTTACCAATAAACCTAATGATGGAATAGCATTGTCATGTAATCTAGTTACATTTAAAGTTCTGTTAAAATTTGACTCTTCAAAATGAAGCGAACAAATGAAGATGGTCTTTGATCCAACGTTTATATTCGGCAGTCCTATGATTTCCAACCATTCTTTCTTCCTTTTTTCATTTGTAGGAAAACTTGAAATAATAATAATAAAACAATAAAAACCTCATAGTGAATTGTTTTAATAACAGAATATCGATAATATGTATGCTTACAAGATCAACACTATCTCAAAATAATCGTTAACAACAATCATCAAAATATACAAACAAACAGGCAATCTAAAGTAACAAAAGCAAAATATGGCAAGATTTATAAATAAACTACTTAAATAAGTCTAATTACATAAAATATTCGGGCTAGTGTGTGATTTATAGACAAAAAAATAACACATGCCTGTGCAATGTAACATTCGATTGATTTGCAGTTTTTCTAAAGCCGCATCCTTTAATGCTGCAGCGTCGCATTTTTATTAATACCTAATTATTCTCACTGTCAATATTTTTGTCCAATTTAATTATAATACATGTGAATAATTCAATAATACATTTGGAAAAACATTTGTTTTGACATTTGATGTACTTCCCTTTGACAACGGTATCATGTACCTCATGTACTTGAAATGGCCACGGTTGGCATTTAAAATAACGTTACGAATTTTCGATTCCCGTGTTTGACACAGACCAATGTAATGCTATCTCTTTTGGCTTAAGACGGCAGGTAATAGTTAAACAAAGACAATAATATGTTTATGTTTTCGACGTCGAAATGCATCATATACATATAACGTCTGATTTATATATATGTCAACGTAACATGTCCTTTAGTTTCCATAGTCTAACCTTTGAATTTATCAAGTTGACGGTCAGCCTCGCACAATAAATGTATATAAAACAGTAATTCTAAAAAGTTTCGTACCTCGGGACAGGCTAAAACATCTAATTAGGCATACCGCCAGATGTTAGATCTCAATTTTTCTTTAATAATTTAATTTTCTTGACATTGTTTCACAAGAAGCCATAGGTATTGTTTCGAAAAATGCAGACATACGTGTTCACTGTTCGGCCATTTTTTCAGAAGTCCTTCTTTGTAAAAAAGATGGCTAAATTTTCGGCTCATATATATAATTTATTTATTTGGTGATCAGTGTCACCCTTCAGTGATTTAGGGTTAGTTGAAACCCTTGAGCTCCTCAAAGACCTTACCTCTTTACCTCATTTTGAACAATCAATCTAAAGATATTGTGACTTATAGTGATTAGTGACGTTCATAATTATCCCTTGATATCATATTATTTTAAATTATAATATTATGACATTGATAATATGAAATAATGATTATATACCAACCACTAACTGTCAAAGGCAACTGAGACAATAGAGTAGCGATTGTTATTAAATTGCAAATTTATTACAGGTGACTCTCTTCGATCTTTATCAATTTGTATATTTACACTTCCATTTTTAAGTAGGTAGGGTTTAGGAACTTCACGTAATTTCTAAACCTGCAGTTTCACCACAAATACTAAGCATAACTACTTCCGTTGCCGAACGGTCACCATTCTGGACAGCTACGCAGAGGTCCCTGAGTTCGATTCCCAGCGTGGGAAAAATATTTGTATGGCCTACATTGATTTATCTCGTGGGTTTGGGTGTAATTTGTGGTTTCTACCTATATATGTGTCCTGGCACCCACGATACAGGGTTTCGCTTGTGCGGGGATAACCCCGCACTCACACACATAGGAGTGTGTGCGTTATTATTGCGTTATATGTGTAAGCACCTACATACAATTGAAATAATTTATTTAGTTGAATTTTTCGGTTTTAGCTGATTTGTATTATTCCTTTCTTAAGTATTAAAGCCATCTACCTCCTCTTATGCTAAAAAACCGGCGCTGAGGCCCTGCGCAGCATAAAACTGAGTTAAATTGGCTATAACATTTTCAGCTGCTAATATTGTTTACAGCTCGATTTTGTCTTTTGCTTTTTATTCACCGTGTGCTCTTAAACTTCCTGTTATTCTTATTCGAATTATAGTATTTTGTGAATAGCGGAATAAATGTTTCTTTCTTTTTTATGTAGGACAGGTAACTAATACCTGCAACTTATGTGTGTAAGGTTTGTAGAGTCAGTGTCCATAAACAGTGTGTAAATATAGCGGTTATTTGATATGCGACGACATTCGTTGAGAAGCTAGTTAAATAATCTATTTTTTATAAATGGTTCTGTAATATAATATTCCTACTTAACGTAAATAAAGTTGCGCATACGTAACTGGTTCTTAAATGATAAGAAAATATAATAAAATATTGGTCGATTCCGCTACGCCTATATGTATTTTCTGAAGTACGATATTTTCCCCACTTCTGTAGGAGAGGGCGAACATTTTATAACCATTACAGCACAGAATGAAACGATCGTGCGTTCAAATTTGAAAACAATTTGGGAAAAATCAAGTTTACCGCTTCGGGTCAACAACGATCGTTTGTGCGTTCGATTAATATTCGCTGTTAAAGCAGTGCGGCCGTGTTCTAGGACTACACACCTGTGCCGAGAGCGACAAGTGTGAGCGTGTACGTGACGGATGGGAGGTCGAAAAGCAAGTTTTTTTAAATTTCATCATTTCGTGTTGTCTGTCCTAATGGTGTATTTTCTTATTATGTATATGTTATATTTTACATAAAAAAATAATTAAACAGTGAATTGTCAGAAATTGTGGTTTGTATTCAGTCATAAAGTCATAAAACACGATCGTGCTTTGAGGATGGAAATGACTAGATTAATTTTATTTTTACTTAATTTTCTTTTTGTTTTTAGAGACATTAACATGCGATTTGGTTACACAAATCATCGGAAACGTTGACAAATTGGAGTTAGGTGAATCTGAACTTGAACATTGAGAATAGGAGATAGAAAGTGATAGTGGTTCTTGAGCCCAGGCCAGCCCCATATTTTTCTACGTTAGTTTTGACTATAGTGACCCTCTCTACCGACCGTGAGGGTATACGAGAAGGGCACTATAACCTGTGGAATGGAAAGAAGCCTTATAAGTTCAGGTTCTGACCCCAGATCAGCCTGTACAGGGTTGTCACAGACCTCTGTCACTTGACTCAATCCGGTTCTTCGAGAGGCTAGTGCCTCGGGTGACCCGCCCCGGGTGCACGTACAATATTTTCCTGATATTCTCTCCCTATTTTCCAGATAGGTAACGGAGCTGTAGGCACGCTCACTTCCCGTTGCGCATTGCACAAGTAACGGTTGCCAGCGCTAAGACGTCGAGTTCACTACCAAATCTCCTATTGGTGGCGAAGTTGTAAGGCACGCTCATTTCCCGACGCCGAAAAACGTCGTTTCTCCAGTTCATAATAACCTAAGAGGCTGGAGGGACCGGAGGGCATCTAGCTTATCCTCTACTAGCTAACCACAAACCCAACCCAAGTCCGGGTCCACCAGAGACGCCCGGAAAGGCGTATCACTGGCGGAAATCATGACGGATTTTTTTATTATTTTCTGAACAAGAAAGGGCTCATTTTATAAAAATGGTCTACGAAATCTATAGTTGACGAATGTGGTGTCTACTTGTTACGCCACTTTCCCTAGATTACGATTTATGTTAAAATAGTTATCTAATTATTTTGAATAAACAATTTATTTCATTACTTAATTAAATAATAATAATAATAAGTTATTTCAGGTATAACAAATGCATAGAATGACAAAAATTTAGAATTAGAAATTAAATAACATTAACACATTATAATATCCAATAAACACCATTATCCACGTAAAGAGTCGATACTACCACAGCTTGAATTCATATTTATCCCCTATTAAATCGATTCTATTGTGCGTGTCGAACTCACACACACACACTCAATATAGCCCCGCACTAGGGAAACCCTGTGTCGCGGGTGCCATGGACACACACATAGACAACCAACCACAAATTACACCCAAACTCACGAGATAAATAAATGTAGGCCATACAAATATTTCTCCCAGCCCGGGAATCGAACCTGGGACCTCTACATGGCAAGGCAGTTAATAGGCAGGAATACTGGCTTTATCTTTTTTACAAACGAAATTAACGTCGTTTGGTTTTTATCGTATACTGTACATTTTACTTAGTTCAGTTGATATAAAAAAAAATTGGTGTATGTAAAGTACCTATTGAATACAGCGGTTTTCTTGTAAATTTTCCATATAAGTCTGTTTTTTTTCGATGGTAAAAACTTTTACGGATCGTGTTTTTCACACCGTACTAATCAATGCATATCCTCAATTTTACTGTACATTTTTGCTAAAGTGATTAATTCAACACTTTCACTGCTATGCGGAATCAACTAAAGCCATTTGAGGTTGTATCGACTCTGAGTTCCAACCCAATATCGCAGCATAGTCGAGTCGCATTCGCAACTGCGAGTTATAGCGGCTTTATTGCTATTATATATTAATAGTTTCGAACACAAACTCTCTTTCTAATCGCAGCAGCAACAAAAACATTTCCGAATCACTGCAGTATCTTGGCAATTTGATAGCTCTAAAAATATTATTGTAATTTGAACGCGGGTGGCATTGTACGGTCGCTTAGTATACGAGTAGTTGGCCCATAAACTACACGTATAACGCCGTAATATGCAGCACTCGAAGTTAGTAAAATTTTGCCGCGCTCGGCTTCTGTCGGCGCTGGCTTTGGAGGATGGAAAAAAAGGCGCTGGCACAAATTAAAAAGATATGGCGCTGACCGTACACCCCCGCCAGACCTCGCCTCCCGCGCTTTGATCACAAGATGGCGGAGACCGCCGTTCACGTCGTCGAGTATTTTTTATTATAAACCGATGTGTAATAGTAAAATTGTGTAATAATTTCAATGTTCAGCGATTAAAAGTGTTTTCTACAGTATTGGAGTTTTACACACCTAAATAGGGTCTGACAGTACGCTCTAAACGAAGAAAAGTAATTCATCAACGTTTACCGTCTTCTTCAGGACACAGAGATTGCAAATAATTGCTTGGCGGGTTTCTCTCATTATCATTTCTAATATTAATAGCACATTTTTTATCCTTGAAGAAATTATCTGAATTTGCAACAGAGAAACCTAATGGCAACTCCCTTTTTTGGTAATAGGCGCCCCATGTTGCAACACCCAGTAACATGTTCGTTTTTGTGTTCACTATAGCACCTCCTTCGGCTCCATGTGCACGTTCGCATTTAGTATCGTTAGCTCTAAATTCTTTAATATCACACCCGAAATAGCAAGGTACGTAGAAACCCTTAATTTTGAAATTAACCGTGAATATTTCAGCGCATAAATCTAAGCCGAGTACAATTTCTAAGGCTGTGAGCTTGTATTGCGTTCTTGGTTTCTTAATTTTGTGTTGGGTCTGAAAAAAAAATTATTTAATTGGGTTACAAAGGGCGGCAAAAAATTAAAAAAGCAGAAGAGAACTCTTTGTGAAAGAGTTCGTCCAGGAAAGTACTGTCAACAACTGTTTGAAGGGTGCTGGTGAAATTACAGTCACATGGGACTTGTCAATTTGTGTGACGGGCGCAGTGGCAATGCCCCTCAGATCTTTGTGATTTAAAGCCCTGAGTATCACAGACAAGCGTGGCGCTTACCACCAGGTACGACTTGTTCGTCCCATTACTTGATATCACAAAAAAAAATCCGTGGAATAGCTACAATTATCAGCATTACTGAACGAGTGTCTGCTAAAACCTATTCAATGGCATATCTCTAAATGAAGAGGTACCGGCTCTATTTCTCAATGGAATTTATTTTAAACGGTTTTGGTCAGAAAACGTATCCATTTTGAGATCAGTTTGGTGTGATTGTCTACCACATACCTTATGGACTGTCCAACCGACAGCAATATGATCACCGGGCCCTCTTATTCTTAAATATTCTGCAAACCAATAGTAAGTATCATCTGTGCGTCTTTCATTATAAATATCAATTGTGGCCCACTCTCTGGTGTAACTGTCGTTGCTTAGAACTATTATAAAACCAATGTCATCGAAACTTTGCCTAGTAACATTCGAAGGCGTCACAAATGCTTTTGCCGAAAAGCTATTGCCATTGTAAAACACCCTGGTGTACAAGGGTCTTAAGCTGAAAATATAAATAGAAATCAGCTATTATTACATATTATCAATTGCTTTATATGTATATTTGCAATTGCAATTTGCTGTCAATAAAATAGCGAAAGTGCGGGCATAAAGGTCACGGTTGGCCTCGATGTGACAAAAAGGGTTTTTACTTTTGTACCTACTCAAGAACTTTTCAAAAACACTGAAACCTGCAACTGTTTATTTGTTCCACCATAAAGAATCTCCAGAATGGGTACTCGGAATTTACAAAATATCCTCGATATTGGAACTTTACCCGGAATCGGAACTATCTATATACACCCTGAATTGACTCCACTTGGACTATGAGGACCCACCGCAGAAGAGGCTTAATGCCTAAAAATATAATGGACTGTAGACTTGGTGTATGCCTATCTACCTAAAACAAAAAAAAATCCCCAAGACTTGGCTGTGTGATTTCAAACCTTTGCCTTTTCGTTAACGGAAAGAATAAAAAAAACAACAATTTAAAATTAGCTATGCTCAATAATTATGTCCCCGACCGTACAGTGCTTATCCATAAGTTCCATTGACTTATAAAGTTCATATTGTGGCCCGTGCCCACGGCAGCGTTCTGTTTTTTGCGGGATCGGTTCTTTGCAGGATTCTGTTTATTGGCGATAGTTTCAATCAATACACGAGCATTCCCACGAACATTCACACGAGCATCCCGTTTGCAGGATCCTACAAAAGACCGATCTTCTCGAATTTTGTTATTTAGTTTTGTCACTGCAAACTGGATCCCGCAGAAAAAAAGAGGATCCCGTTTATGTGACACAGATCTATAATATTTCAATGGAAGTACCTATTCACACCAGCGGCAGCGTCTAGCACAACTAAAAATTTAGACTTACCTTTTCTCAATTCACCCATCAGATTACGAAAGATTCGATCGACATTTCACAATATGATGTACCCATTTCTTTTTTTGCAATAATACCAATACATTTCACAAGAATGTTCACGTCTATCGCGTCTGAATTACGATTATTTATTACTTTATTTCCACATCAACTGTACATTAAAGTGAATGATGAATGAAAATGATGAATTGATGTCCTGCAAAAAAAAACAGGACACAAAATGCTGCGTGTGAAGACACCAGTTCGATTTGCGGGATCCAGTAAAAAGCAGGTCCTGCAGAACTGAACGCCGGTGGGAATGAGAGCGGTTTTTTGTTAGAAATAAAATTGGTTCAAAATAAGCACCTAAATTTTACCTAAACAAGCATCTAGCAGACGTAATGAATATATTGTTGTCGATACAAGATGCAGTGCACACGACCGGGTAGTCGTGGTGTGGCGAATGCACTACTTTACCGACCCATGGGTACACCGATTCATCCACCTCGTTTGCCTCCGAATGATAGTTCTCCAAGGAGGGAAATACTGCAAAAAATAACTTACGAGTCATTTACAATTTTATATAGAAAACCAGCGAGACTCAGACATATTAATCAAACTATACTAACGGGCAACTCATGTGAGTGAGTTATTATATAAGTCGAATTTTCAGTGTGGATGAGACTTTCGAAAATCACGTCGTTAATGTAGTGTGCAATCCTGAGTATGACATTAATGAAATAAAGCGTAAAGCTCCTGTGAAAGAGTTCGTCCAGGGAAGTACTGCCACCTTACCTATTTCTGCCGCCAAGCAATGAATGATTACTGTGTTCTGGTTTTGAAGGGTTAAGGATGCTGGTCAACTTGTCTCAAGATGCAAGCGCAAGGCTCAGTGGCTGTGTCCCTCAGATCTTTGCGATTTAAAGCTTTGGGTGGCACTGCAACTGCTATGGACAAGCGTGTCGCTTAACACCAGGCGCTCGCAAGCGACTTTACGGTCCTGTCATTTGGTATCATGAAAAAGGAAACGAGGGTAGCTCGCCACCACCGCCTGCACCTGCACCCTTACAGAGTAACTGGGTTGTCATGGCTTTGCGGGTTGTCATCGCTGCGGAATCTCCCGATTAAGGACTACGGACTAGTTCGAAACATGTTGAGCAAAAATTCGCCTGAAATAGGTGAGTTATCCGTTAGTTTAGTTAATAGCCAGCTACAAAAATACTTACAAAATTTTATTATTACATTACGCATGTCGTTCGGAAACATCTCTACAGGTTTTAGTAAAAAGATCCGGCCATATTTTAAATCGTACTCATGATAACATATGTGTTTAACAAAATTACCATTTAAAATTTGAAAATAAAAAATGCTTCCTACGCTCTGGGCCATACCTATAGTTATTTGTTATGCAAGGTTGGAAAGCTGTTGTTTGACGCGAGTTTATATTGAAGCCTGAGCAAGCGCAGAAGCCTAAGATAAGATCCATAAATAGAATTCTGAGCGTAGCGAAGGTTTCAAGACACGAGACGCAAAATAACTTGGATGTCGAGCGAAACACCACTTTTCACCTCACTATAGCGAGGAAAATGGTAGATAAAAGAAAAATAGTTAAACTCACATCAACAAATCAGTTTTATTAAACAAAATTAGTTATCGTTGTCAATTTAATGTCAACAATAATAAGAATAAAAAATAAAATATACCAACGGATACATATTACATAAAATGAACGACAAATTGCGTAGTTGAACATGTCATTATGTTTTTTTTTCATCGAAAGAAAAAGTCCATCGTCAAGTTCAAGCGAAATTCAAAAACCTTTTCCTCGTTAGCGTGAAAAGAAACGCCTTTGCACAGATTTCTGATGAGAAAGAAACCCTTTCCTATCTAGTGAGGTGAAAAAGTATTTTTTTAATACAGTTGCTCAAAACGTGGTATTTTTCTTACTACAAATCGTGCCGAAAGTTGGTTTTTTCGCACTAGTGCTTTTTACTTTTCCATTTTTTTAAATTTACTGTTGTTTCAAGTCTTAAGCATGGAACTAAAGAAGTTGCATATTTATTTAATATTTATGTGCTTCGTGACGTAAGTCATTCGTAATTAAAA